TGGCCGCTTTTACTTTTTGCGGTAGTCAATATTGACAAAATGACAATATTAACCCTCGCATGTGTGCGGCGTTTTCCAGCTTCTAATGTGTAGGGGGAGGGGCGGGAGGTCGGTCAGACCCCCCTGCCGTTCGGCCCCTGATCGGGCTAGAGCTTCGGGGAAAAAACGAGGGTGTTGCCCGTGACGAGAAGAAGCCGATGATACCCAATTTTAAGGTCTTAGGTCATTGGTTGACCTTCCAGGTCAGGTCAATATTCCAAAAGTCGGGAAAATCGGGACCTGCTAGAACTGCGTAAAGTGAAGCTGTTATCGGGTTTTTCGGGGTGCTGATCACGAATATCTGATGTAAGTTTTGATCACAGATGATTTCTTCATGCATTTAGGCCAGATCGTGTCAGGTCAGGTCAGGTCAACCATTAGGCGTCCTACCGGCTATCCATAGTAAAGTAAGTGTCAACTACCACTGACGGCGTCGTAGCATGTTACGAAGGCACTAAAACTACTTCGTAAACGTTCAAATGGATGCTAAATTCGAAATCAGCCCGATAAACTACCCTAGAAACATGTAAAACTCGAAAAAGTGAACCGAGGTCATCAAAGGTCAATGACCTGACCTGACCTTCAGGTGACCTTCACACCCACCGTGATGCATGGGAAGAACATCATTTCACACGTTTGGACGTCTACAATCACAAAAAGACTGGAAACGCGTAGATAATGTGGGCTGACATACGCCAAATCGCGATTCCGGCCGAACATGGTCTCGAGAATCAGGTCACAGGTCAAAGGTCTTTTAGGTCAGGGTCATGAAATTTTCAGAGTAGGTGTAAAACTACACCCCCTACAAAAAACGACCCCCTACACATGCGAGGGTCAATGCTTCCAAATGCACTTATCGGTCGGTACCTTTTTTCGACATGGTACACCCTCAAAGCTCGTAACGATCCTTCGCTCGGGTGTCGCTCCCTACTCCCCCCCCCCCCCCCGCTTCACCGACCATTGGCTGGATTTCTGCACCCATGCACCCACAATGTTCCAGCCGTTCCTACGCCCATGTGGCCAGTGGCGCCTCAGCGTACCTATATCAGCGGTGTCTCAGCGGTGTCTCAATGTTGTCTCTGCAGTAGTCTCTCAGCATGGTTTCTCAGTGTTGAGTTCTCGGTAGGTGTTCTCGCCGAGACTCGTCTAAGGTCGCTGATCGCTCGTGCATGGCGTGGGGAGACCGCGGTGCCGGCTTCTGACTGGTTCAAATACAGCAGAGGCTGATGGACTTGACACTGACACGGACAGGGGCAGGACATGGGCGCGGACTTGGACTTAGAGGCCTTTGCGGACATGGAAGAGCCACACAGCGGTTCCAGCGAACAGGTAGATACAACTCCGGGCGACCCAGTCTACTTCAACCAGTGGCCGTATCGCACTCAGCAGGTCATGCAGCCGCTCTTCAGGCAGTCGGTGGAAAAATCACCCCTCCATCAGGCATCAACCGTCAACCGACTTCCGCAGGCCGCTGCTGCTTCGCGTTCGCTTCCGAACCAGTGCAGCGAACAGTCGACGCGCTGGCTGTTTGGTGGGTGCATGCGCTGGGCTGGACTGACGGGTGAGTCAGAACACCGCCCTGTCGTGGACTGGAGGGGCTTTCGTCATTGTCTCGCGGTGGCTCGCTCGTGCTGCGCCGGCCGGTGTTTTCGCCCCGCCGTGGCCGCATTCCTCCCTCCCCCGCAGCCGGGCCGGGCCGCGCTGCGGTGAACGCGCTGATTGGAATGACCAGTGGAATGGCTCATTGGAATGACCAGTCATAATGGCTGACTAGAATGACCGAAATATTTGAATGATAAGGCGAAATGTGAGGTGTCATTGCAGCTATAACATGCGCCGCTCTTCATTGCTGCTTGCATTTCCAAACAGTAGGTATTTGAATCAATTTCCGTTCATGGTTAACTGTTGTTGTACGAAGTATCGGGAATTTCGAGATGGTTCTTGCCATGGAAAAAAAATATTGCACATGAACTTTGGCTTTAGAGGCATGGGACTGGTTCCGTGTGAATCGCTATCGCCCCCCACCCCAACCCCCACCCGACCCTATAGTGGACGTTGAATGCTGCAACATATTTCGCCCTTCTTCCGTCAAAGTTCTCTGCACCTGGCGCTTCCAGCCATCTTTTCCCTTACAGTCCAATCTAACTAGAAACATGGCACATCAGATTATTGCTACACAGCATCGAACACGACACTATCGGACCACGACACTTCATGCCACTTTGGTCACCCTCCCGGTAAACCGTCGGACCGAGTCTCGCTGAGAGCAATGACCCGACCCTCGGCACCACGCCGTACCGTCGCGACGCCATCGCTGCGGCTTTATAGGCGCGCCGTGTTTGTCTGCGGCGCCGCAGCGCGGCGGTTATGGCGCGGCGTGTTTACTACCGCAGCTGTCGAGAGACTCATTCCACGACAGGCTCAGGTCTATGGGCGCATTCACGTCATGGCTGTTTTCTCCGTCCATTCTGTCAAGGCTTATGTCTCTCTGGAATGACCTAATACGGTTTGGAGTCTGGCTTTGGCCAGACATGACGTCTTTCTCTTAAGGCTATTGCTGAGCGGCATGCTCACCTTTTATCTATTTCCGTCTTCACTTTTGCTGTAGCACCGCTTAAAGTTTGAGTTCGAACATAAAGTTTGGGCCTATTTAGAACTTCGTTTGCGCTTCATTCATAAGGGATGTTAATATTTGCTACTGTCACGACCTGGACCATTCATGGTTTCCGGTCAGTGAAGCTGCCTAGCCCTAATCCAGATTGTCAGATCGATGCGCCGCTGAGGTACCGCTAGTCTGTCGATCGGCGTAATGTTCCCGCGGTGTCTCTGCCCTCCGATCCCGGCGATCCCCGTCCGATACCACTCCTCCCCACACTGCGCCGCCGCTGACTGACACCACGCACCGCCAAACAACACTAATTGGCCCACCAGCTACTCACTAATCACCTGTTTTTCTCGGATGGTTTCCGGAACGTTCCAGCCGCAGATAGATTAGCATATTTCGCCTGAATATGTAGACGGCCCTTAGCATAGGTATTTCATTTAGATTTCAGGTGTGGAAAGAGGTGCACCAATGCGTTATGCCTGATTTGATCAGGTAGATAGGTTTATGCTGCAAGATCGTTAGGAAGGAAGGCATGGTGTTTGCTCATAGAGAGCTTTGTTTTCTTATCTTGGCATATTCGTTCTCATACATTCGCGGTATCTTGTGCTCCAAATTATAGGAACCTCTCTTTCATGAAGCTGCTGCCAGTTTTAGTATAGGTAGGTACACGGTTTCTCTCAATTGTCGTTTTTTTTACGTTTTCAGCTAGGTAGGCGTTTTACATGCATTTATGATAAGGCTTATCGTGCTATCTGGACAATTATGCGATGAACTGATAGCATGCAAATAAGGTAGCTTACAACGACACAAAGCTCCTTTACAAGCTCCCTCCATGTACGTTATCAATATGAAATATCAAATTTTGATTGATAAAGCCTACTGGCGTTACCGGGAGTCTGTCCCATGTCGAAACGGTCCTCAGGGGCGCTAAAAGCTGTCCAATCTGTGTCTCGGACCCAGCCGTGATCGTGTCCGTCTTTAGCCGCCGAAATCTTCCAGTCTCCCTGACCAGTGAACACAGCACCAGCCGTGAATAACCTTGTCACCGCCGCCGGCGGGAGTGAAATGGTTCAGTTCTCACTAGCCTGACTGAAATGCATTGGCGAGTGCCGGTGACGCATCCCTCTTTCTGCCAGACCTGTCTGCCTGATAGCTGCTCTGCGCTGATCTCTGTCAGACCGTCCTTCCGGCCGGCGTTCCGTCCTTCAGCCGAGGCCGTCTCACTCGCCGTGAGCCGGCTCGGCTGATGAGCGTGTGTCCGGTGTAGCTCGGCTGAATCATTTGTGCGTTAAAACGCCCCGGGCCGCGCACCGCGTCTCCGAGGCCGCCGCGGTGTGGTGAGGTGTCAGCTGGCGGTCGCGGGTCGGCGACCTCTAGACGCTTCTCATAAAGTTGGACAGAGACGCGACTCAGCTGGACAGAGACGTGACTCGTCCTGGGGAATAAGAGACGAGTTATCTATCAATGGCGCTGGACTCCGGCAATACGCGATGTGGTGAACGATGGATGATGTTGAATGAAGTCTCCTTGGTGGCCAGTTTGAATAATTCACAAAGCCAACTGTATAATCAAAGCAAATATTATGCTGAACACACTCAGTAGATATTGTGCAGAATGTAAAGCAAACTTATAAAAACCGTTATCGATATTGCGATCTTGATCAGACGGCTGAAGCTGCAGCGAACTTCGCTCAGAACCGTGACACATTTCGATTACAGGCCGGCGAACGCGCTGCGCTTTTTATCGCACGGTCGCCATGACCGCTGGCGTTGGCACATGCTCTCGCCGGCTGGGCCGGGCCAGAGGCGGGGAGCGGGAAAGTTACGGATCACCGGATGTGGGCGGGGCTAACGGAGAGAGGCAGGGAGAGAGCGAGAGCAGCGGGAGCAGAGAGTCTGGACCAGGGTATATTGGTCTGGACCACGTGCCTAACAGGTTTTGATCTGTGTCTGGGCCGAGTAGTGGGTAGTGGCTCAGTCCTAACGAACCCGCTGAGGGCCGGTATACGGCCAGTCTGTCCTATCTGTCTGTCTGTCTGTCTGACTGACTCCTTGCCTGTTCACAGCCAGTGGCGGCGCTCCGTGTCTGTCTGGCTGTCTGCTCGTCTGCTGTCAGTCCGTCTGCCCACCACTGGCGTCCCATGTCTGAATGTCTGTCTGTCTGTCTCTCTGCCCGTGTGCGGCTCGTTCTTACTGTCTGTCTGTTTGTTCACAGCCGGCGGCGGTGTCCCATGTCTGAACGTTCGTCTGTCCGTCTGAATGTATGTCTATCTGCGGCTGGCCCAGTATGGATGCTCGTCTGTTTGTATGTTCACAGCATGCCGTTTCTTACTGTTTGTATGTCTGTCTGTTCACAGCCGGCGGCGGCGGCGTCTCATGTCTGAATGCTGGACGTGCTCCACGGCTCTGAGGGCGGCGGTGGCGGTCACTGGGCAGCCATGGACAGCGCGGGGGGATCCGCGCGCAGCTCCACCTCAGAGAATGCCGGCGGTGGCGGCAGGTCCAACGGCAGGCCGCCGCACCACGGCTCCACGCGCTCTGGACGCCATAAACAGTGAGTGAGGCACCGCCGGTACACACGGACATAGACGGTGTCACCGTACGGAAACGAAGACAAAAGACGCAGTCTACCGCGGGGAAACAGAGATGCCAACGAGAGATATGAAAAGGCACACGCAAGGTGAATGTATGGTTCTGTTTTCCTCTGCACAGTCCGCAGAGCGGCATACAGAATTGATCATATATTTTGTTCTGATTCGAAAAGAGAACTTATATATTTGTTGTTTTTATTGTTTGCGACTGACAGTCATTTGAGTGGGTGACAGCTTTTAAAGCGCCCTTATATTTCAAACTTATTTGCATCATTTATCCGTGCTCTGCGCGGTGCGCACTCTTTTAAAATCGGACTTTGCAGTTTGCAATGTCGATACGCTTGCCTGCGCCAATGTTTGGAAGAACACCACTTTCGGGTTTGTTAATCCAACGGGTGCACAGGAGACGGAGTAGCGAGTTTTCACAACACGGCTTAATTTATCCCCGGATTTATCTGTTTGTGGTCGAAGGATCCTCGTTCCGAACCGGTTATTCCTTGCTCAGCAGAGCCAGTCTGGCCAGTGTTGTGACTGTAAAGGTAGGTGCGCTGGGAACGGAAACGCATAGGTATGGATAAAATAGAAATAAACTAGCTGGTATGCACCTATAAGGTAGCCGAGCTGTTGGCGCTTTGAAATCAATACAATCTCACATGTGTAGTCTGTTACGCTAAGTTAAAAAAAAAATATTTCGTGCATCCTCTAAGTATACCAGCCGTATGTGCGAACGATCTTTTCTTGTCACAATGCAGTTCAGACGATTCCCGTGTCCCGGGACTCCTGGGACACAATCAACTCGGGACGGGTCCCTCATGTCGTCAGACCGAATCAGTCTCGGTCTTCTCAAACCTATTTGAAACGGCTTCCAGCCTTCCACCGATATGGATTTGATAATTGACATGGTGAGCCGTTGGGCGAATTTATCCCCGTCCTTCACTGTCACTTCTTGAATGTCACACTTAAATATATTTCTATCTATAGCCACCTATGACCATCTTTGGCAGTGGCCATCTTTGGCTATGGCTATCTTATGGCCGTCTATCACCGTCTATAATTGCTTTTGACCTCCTATGGTCGCCTATGGTCGAACAACTGTGGCTGCCTATGATCTGTGGTCGCCTATGGTGGCCTTAAGCCACCTATGGCCGCCTCTGGTCGCCTATGGTTGCCTATAATCGCCTATGGTCGCCCATGGTCGCGTATGACCGTCTATAGCCACCTATAGCCGCCTGTGCTCGCCTTTGGTCGTCTTTGGTCGCTGTGACTTCCTTTGGTCACCCATGGTCGAACGACTGTGGGCCTTGAACTGTGGCTGCCCATTGTCTATGGCCGCCTATGGCCGGACGGCTGTAGTGCTGCAGACGCAGTGAGCCGCCCGGGTTCATCGGGTTCATGTCAACCCCACTCACCCCTCCTCCACGCAGTGACCGGCCCCACAGTATGACAGGATGACAGGGCAGTGGCCGACCCTCCAGTTAGACAGCTTTATAGAGGGATTTACATCGGCAAACCAGGAGAGCTGCCGGCACAGAGGGCAGGGCACAATTGATGAATGGCTGTAACCAACCGTGTTCAACTGCATGCCAACCTGATAACAGTCGGTCAAAGGCGGGGAAAAAGAAGCGATGGAACTGCTTTTGAGCACAGCTTTCGTGAATGCATTCTTTCCGTGATATTTTTTTTTTCTCGTTTAACTGCTTCGATTTGGGTTTGGGCTCAACAAACATATAAACGTTATACTTGCATGTGTAAATTAATATAATAAAAAACTACCTAACTTTTGAAGCTATTGTAAGCGAACTCCCGTCCAGCTCCCGCCTTCACTTGTTCATCAAGCTGATAGTGTAATGCTTGATTAGGTGCAATAGCCGGTGGCTCTATTTATAGCGAATAGCAACGCAGACATTTAGGCACCCCATGCACGAGGTGTGTTATTGTATTTTAATGGTCATTAACTCCCCTGGTCATGGGAAAACATTGCCTATAAGTAGGTATAGCAATGGTAACTGATAAGCTTGGACACTCGACGTTACACCTGTGCGGGACCTCCAGTCATCGTAGACGGGATGACTGGAGGGTTCATCGGCCCGATAATTCTTCAACTCATTGTCTCAAGCAATTACTTCGTGTCACAAATCACATGAAACGTATGAAAGGCCAGTGTCCCCTGCAAAATTTGCGAGTCATGCGCTCGAAATAAACCAGAGAGCACATTTTGATGATTCAAGCTCAGTCGTGCAGCCACACTTGAATCGCACCTGACTCCTCCCTCTGTGTCTCCTTAGTTCGTGTCTGTACGGCTCTTGACGTGTCAGCGGCGGTCCCGCACCTGGCTCCCCGCTCCCTCCCTCCCTCAGCTCACGTCTGGACGACTCTTTGACGTGTCGGCGGCGGTCTCGACTGACTCCCTCCCCTCCCCTCCCCCTCCCTCAGATCACGTCTGCGGACGACTCTTTGGACGTGCTGGCGGTGGTCCCGCACCTGACTCCCCCCTCCCTTCCTCAGCTCGCGCCTGGACGACTCTGGTCGGCGGCGGTCCCGGCTGACTCCCCCTCCCCTCCCTCCCCCAGCTCGCGCCTGGACGACTCCGTGGACGTATCGGCGGCAGTGACGGCCCCAGAGCCCGGGCCGGACGTGCTCGAGGTGCAGATCGTGCCGCAGGACTCGTGGGCCGACACGACGGCCGTCACGGGCAACACGTCCGACGTGTCGACGTCTGTGGACGAGTTCCGAGTGCTGCACTCTCCGGAGCGGACTCTGCGCGCCCGCTGCCGCCGCCGGCTGCTGGCCGCGCTCGCCGGCTGTGTGTGTGGGTTCGCGCTGCTCTCCCCGGTGGTGATGGTAGTGCTGCCACGGGTGGGCGCGCTAGACCTCTCTCCATCTCAACTGCAGTGCGGCGCCGAGTGCGACGGAGCGCTGATCGCGTTCGCGTTCAAGCTGCTGATCCTGGTTGCGGGCGGGTGGGCGGTGTTCGTGCGGCCCGCGCGCGCCACCCTGCCGAGAGTGTTCGTGCTGCGTGCCGCAGTGCTGACGCTCACGTTTGTGTTCACGTTCAGCTACTGGCTGTTCTTCTTTGTACGTGTTCTGGAGGAGCGGCACACGCTGCAGCTGTACACGCTGACCGTGTTCGCCGGCTCGCTGGTGGACACTCTGCTGTGGACGCACTACCTGGCCGTGCTGCTGCTCGAACTACGTCACGCGCAGCCGCAGTACGCCGTGCGCGTGGTGCGCAGTCCGGACGGTGAGTCGCGCCTGTACCCGCTGGGAGCGCTCAGCGTACAGCGCGCTGCTGCATACGTACTGGAGCGCTACTACGCCGACTTTGCCGTCTACAACCCGTACCTGGAGCGGCTGCCCACCAAGTCGGCCTCGAGGAAACCCAGCAGCGTCACCAGCTACAAGTTCTACGACGTGGACGGCTCGACGGCCGGCTCGACCATACAGGTGAGGAAGAGGGAAGGCCGGGGGAAGGGAGGACCTGAAGGGGAGAGAGAGAGAGAGAGAGAGAGAGAGGGAGAGAGAGAGAGAGAGAGAGAGAGAGAGGGGGAGAGAGAGAGAGAGAGAGAGAGAGAGAGAGAGAGAGAGAGAGAGAGAGAGAGAGAGAGAGAGAGAGAGAGAAAGAGAGAGAGAGAGAGAGAGAGGCAAAAGAGGGAGGAGGGGTCAGGGGGCTTATCTCGGCGGCTACCGGGTGAGGTCCCTCACAAAGTTCATCCCGGCTCATTTTTAGAATATGATGTCATCCTCAGCGCTTATTATTGACTCAAGATGGTTGCGGGAGAAGAACAATGAATGGTCATGACATGTGTATAGATAGAACTATGTTGTATCTAAATAACGTCTAAAGTGAAGGTGCAGCGAACCGATCCGTACCTGTCAGTCCGGTGATCAGTGTCAATAACCGGTAAGTATAACCGCAGATACTGTGGACTTTGTGTCAGGTTTTCCAGTCACTGATGGCAAGCTTGGATCGCAAGAAGCTGAGTGTCTCGTGTTGTTTGGTAACTAATGACCTTGTGGAGCTGACTTGAGGTGTCGATACATTTAAATTCAATTAAATCATAAATTCTACAATTATTGGTTTGAGAATTGTGATGGACCGAAGAGCAAAAACCAAGCAATCCTTGTGTGCCATTCATGTGTGCTACATTGGCCGAACAATAGTTAATTATGACCAATTTGAGCGGTTTATGGATTGTTTTGAGGCCGCGTGACCGCCAGCAATAACGAATAATTGTTTCTACGAGCACCCATTGGTCGGAACCATGTCGGGATCCATCGTAGCGCTTTACGAGTGACGGTGTGGCCCCGGGGTTAATGAACTGTTCCGAGGCGGATCTCCGGATAACGTCCGTTTATGAACCATTCCAACGGATCACCGACCATTGCTTGCCTGCTCGCCCGGAGATCCAACAGATCACCCGTGAGCTAGGCTGATTCGCTTAGACAATGAGTAAATGAAATAGCGACTCACTTCCTTGCGAGCGGAGCCTCAAATCTATGTCAGATCCACGGAGCTGCAGCTGTTATTGGGACTAGACCCCTCGGGCAGCAGTTGCTCGGTTGCAGGTCGCCCCAGGGCAGGAACACCTGCGACCCGTGCACCGTTCAGTGTCCATCAGCGGGTCGACCTTTGACCTCTCGGCTCAGTCGCCGTCTCAGGGGCCAGCTAATAAGATGGTCCGACTGGCTGCACTGGCGCGGCTCCCCGCGAGCCCCAGTCGATCGGAATGCAATTGTGGCCGGAAGACTGAGCTGCCACAGCTGTCACAGTATAAAATAGAGCTGTCACAGCTGACAGCTGTCACCACAGAGCTGCAAAAGCCTCTGTCAACAGAGCTGTCATTGCTGGCACAAGCAGACGGGCTGGTACAGCCGTCAGTTGTCAACAAAGCCGTCATAGCCGTGATTTTCAGATAGAGCTCCCACAGCCGTCATAATTAGACGGAGCTGACACGGCGTGCACGATGAGAGGGAGCTGTCACAGCTGTCATAGTTAGATGGAGCTGCCACAGCCGTCGCAATAATATGAAGCTGCCACAGCCAATAGAAATGTACGGAGCTGTCACAGCCGTCACTGTTAGACGGAGCTGCCACAGCCATTGCAGTAAGCTGCAGCCGTCTGTCCATGAGTGAATGTCCATGTCACTAGCAGTCCATCTCAGACTCTAACTCCGGCCTGCAGTCTGCTGTCGTTGACTACCGGTTGACAATGGAGGAATTTCGGTCACTGTAGATGGGGCATTCCACGATAGATCGACCAAAGCCGTACACCCTCATATTTTATTTTTTGCTTAAAATTGGTCTAATGGGTTGTGATGGGCGGGGAAGCCAGCTGTGCCAAGGATTTTTTTCTTCGAACAACGGTTTCCGAGATATAGCCTCAGGCAATTCCTGGAGGTCATGCTGCAACCCTATGTTTGGCGGCTTATAACTCAGAAACTATTGGTTTTCTATGGTAAAAACTTAATATGGTTCAACTCGCAATCAACCATCAAACGTTTTGGCTATCTCGGATTTTCGATTTTTGAAAATTTTGATCACGTGACATCTTGACCTTTTTTTCGAAGAGTGACCTTGATATTTTCCCAACTGAAAGTCGCAATTATGTCTGATGACGATTAAAGCCTTATCAATTGTCATTCATATGCGCAAATAAAAAAAAATGGCTTTCGGCCTGCGTTGACCTCAGGTCAGGTCATTTTTATGACCTGTCCATTATTACGAGCGAGAGCGACGCGAGATCTCGATAATAAAGCAAGATAGCGACAAGCGGTAAACGGTACAGGATTCACACGGATAAGGTCTACAATTTTTACGGAGGTCATTTTCAGGTCAGGTCAAAGATGACGTCACAGGGGTAAAAAGGAAGTCAAAATAGTTATGGCTGTACCTTTTGATCTAATAAAGAAAGAGACGTGGAACAGGCACCATTGTGTTTGCTTTCGCCTAGCGCCAGTTCGTTTTGAATTTCAATACCGATGACCTAAGATCAGGTCAATTTCTTGACCACCCCATTATAAGTCAATTGGGGAAAAATCAGCTCCCTTGTTTTTACACTAAAACGCGTCGGAATTGCCTAATATACCATGAGTGACTTCATATACGTCTACCTTGAGACCTTTTTTGCTCTTGGTCAACTGTGACGTTGCTCTTGGGTCATGTGACGTCATTAAAGGTCACCAAATGTTTTTTTGCTAATAACTCCTTACAGGTTTGAGATACAGCCGCGCGGATAGGCTCATTGTATTCAGCTCGTCAAGGCCCATCGAATGATATATATGATGACCTTAAGGTCACGTGACCTAAGGTCAACTTTTGACCTTGACCTTTCGAGGTCAACATACACATGTTTCGATGCGGATCGACGAGAGGATCACGATGGTGCTATTAGTTTGTTCATAGCTGGGATACTTTGAAAGTTATTCGAGAAAAACTTCATATATATGTAGTGCCGCCATTTAGACTTTCTTTTTACCCCTGTGACGTCATCTTTGATCTGACCTGAAAATGACCTGAGTAAAAATTGTAGACCTTATCCATGTGTAGGGGAGAGTGGGGCAATGGCGGACGGTGGGTAATGCCGGCCACCCATCTCTTGTGAGTACTTTGTCCATCACTAATCAGCTGATGTTGTTTACATTTCAGTTGAGCACCATTCTAGCACGCGGTGCAAGTTTGTCACGGTAGCTCCATTATTTTCATTTTTATAGCGTTAAATGTGTTTTTCGTATCTGATTTTTAATTTTTGTTGCATCTATTTGCTGACTGTGAAATGTGTTAATGCATTTTCAGAAGTGCTGCTTTGCAATGACCTTCAATTAAGCCTTTCTTGGGTGACTGCTGGATGTGAGGCGTTTGCGGCGCAATGCCTTTGACTGCTGCCTGCTTTCTTAAAATAAAGCTGACCTCAGGGTAATACCGGACACGTGTCCGGAATGACTCCACGCGGTTTTGTTTGCGACTTCTGTCGTTAAAGCTCAACGTTTCGGGTTGCTGTGTTTACGGCTGTGTTAGTTTGCTTGCTGTGTTTACGGTTGTGTTAGTTTGCTGCTCTGTTGGCGCCGCGCTGTTGTGTTGCAGCGAGTGCAGTGTTGTGTTGCAGTGCAGTGTACTGTTAACTGCTGAATACAGTTGTCGTTTCTTAATTCTCACTTAAATTTCCATCGAAAGAACGGTTTAAGGATGAATACCAGTGACCATATTTCGACTTTTGCGCTATTGCACTTAGTGGCCGGCATTACCCCTCGCTTTTTTGCACCTCCATTTTTCACCACATTTTCGCGTAGGCTCTGAATCTGTCATCAGTGATCTGAGATACTAAAACTGGGTGCTATCTGAAAGCCTATTCCTTTGGCTATAACCACAGTCAAAATCACCATAAAATAGCTTCAAATAGCTACGCTATTGAGCAAAATGCTTATGGTGTCGCCATTGCCCCACTCTCCCCTACTTTGTGCCGTTTACCACTTGTCACTATCTTGCTTTGTTCTCGAGATCTCGCTGTCGCTCCCGCTCGTAATAATGGGAAGGTTATAAAAATGACCTGACCTGAGGTCAACGCAGGCCGAAAGCCACTTTTTTATTTGCGCATATGAATGACAATTGATAAGGCCTTAATCGTCATCAGACAAAATTGCGACTTTCAGTTGGGATAATATCAAGGTCACTCTTCTAAAAAAGGTCAGATGTCACGTGATCAAAATTTTCAAAAATCGAAAATCCGAGATAGCCAAAACGTTTGTTGGTTGATTGCAAGTTGAACCATGTGAAGTTTTTACCATAGAAAACCAATAGTTTCTGAGTTATAAGCCGCCAAACATAGGGTTGCAGTGTGACCTCCAGGAACTGCCCGAGGCTATATCTCGGAAACCGTTGTTCGAAGAAAAAAATCCTTGCCACAGCTGGGTTCCCCGCCCATCACAACCCATTAGACCAATTTTAAGCAAAAAATAAAATATGAGGGTGTAAATTTTATTTATTTTTGGTCGATCTATCGTGGAATGCCCCAGATACGAACAGCACGAACTGGCTCTCTTTATAAAACACGGGATTTCGTGAATATTGATATTACTGTTCACGGGATTTCGTTTCCAGGTGTTCGGAGACTCGAGCTGCTTAATTTACAAGTTATTTGATCGATTGGTATGGTCATGGTAATGTCCAGCTTTTTGGTGGCGATCTCACATTGAGCTGTGGACTCTCGTCACTATTCTGGAATGGGTGCCGTTTATGTCTCTTATATGTAGGTGTTCACCTGGGCCGTTCGAAAGATCAGGGAGCTAGTTTTCCCGTCTTCCCCCTGTCTGTACCTATGGAGTATGGACCATTTATCGGTTTATCGGAAAGACATAAGTTTGCATGTTTCTGTCCAGACAGGTGCACACCTCAGTACATCTAAGACGATTTGTCAACGAAAGGAGGCATAAGACAAATATCCCGGGTCATATTTCACTTGCAAATGTGACATTTTTCGGAAAGACAAACATGTGCCATCACATATAAGTCTCGTGGGTCGTTACAAACATGAATAACATTGGCATCAGCAGAACCGTGATTCATGCTCTACTTACGGTGATATAAACCGTGGTCGAAAGCGATTTTTCTTCTGTTTAGGTCTCCGGGCCGAATGTCCCGGCGGGGGAAGCACCGCTCTCTTTCCGGGGACGTGGTGCGATGCCTTTGAAGCTCGCTCATGGGAACGTGCCGCCGCTCGTGGTCCTCTGGGCGGGTTTGTGGCCGGGGTGCTGGGCAGGACAGACGGTAGACGGCAGACGGTACGGAACTGACCACAACGGCAGCTGTTCAGGCCAGTGCTTCTCTGGTTCACATCACAAAGCTCAGGAACCACTCGTGAATCGCAGTGGCAGCTCTACAACAATCATCAATCACTGAGCTAACTATGAGCTAATTGGTTTGTCATATTGTCGGCATAGTTAGTCAACAGACCGCGGTAGCGACAGCCTGCAGATATCCCAGCAAATTAGATCTACCGATATAATGTCTCACGAATCCACATCGTCATGTAAATGTGACAAATATAGCGACCCGTTATGACAAATAACAAGTAGCTCACCTTAGTTGGGCCATGGTTGGCTAACAGCTCATACTTTACCGTATACTTATAAATTACCTTTTGACCCGCCCGGGTAATTTCAGTTCAGTGGCGGCGCGGCTTGGATTCTGACATAAGAGGCGGTAGCTCAATTGAACTGCGATCTAAAAGACAAGCATGAGCTGTAAATAGACGTCGTCTGTCTTTATCACGCTAAGCTAAGACCTGTAACTAGCGCCCAACTTCCAGTCTCCTCACCCACCATCCATGCCGTTAGTTGTGGTTTCGCCAGGACAAGGACCTCATGTCGGTCCAATGACGCTCATCAGTAGGCATGCGATCGTGCCAGCCGCGCGGACCCTCACGTGCGCCGGTTATTCATTGGTGGCATGCGGAACCTCTAAATCATGATCTCGAACGCGAACAAGACCCGGCCACCGTGGTATTGCCCGGTATTAGCATACGGCGAGCACGCTACGGCGGTTAGCTGTGGGTATACGTACTGTGGGTATACGTGCGGCAGAGTCGAACAGTTTGCTGACATCAGAGGCAAGTAGTGATGCATCCAGTCACCACCGAAATGCTTTTATACCGACGGGCCTGGACCGTCTGTTTGTTTTACCTAACCGATCGACGTCAATGGTTGCTCACGAGACCCTATACATACCTACCTACAGGTTTTGCTATGCTAGAGTGCGTTTTGCTTATTCAAATAACCCGATGTGATTGAGTATATGTTCACGTAGCCATTTTGCGGAAAATATATTACATTATCTTATAAGTTTGGTCGTTGCCTATTTCCTTTATCTTAAGTTTACCGGAAGACTTTCAGGCTCCATCATTCCGTTTGCTAAAAGATGGAACCCGACTAATGCGTTGTATTTAGAACCCTTGTATTTTAGGAGTCTTGCGTCGCCTGCCGACCCACCCCAAGCGCGACTACTGTATGGATCTGGGGTCTACAAATACCAAGGAAATGGCTTATTAACTCATCCCCGGTATGCAAATGACCGAGCGACCGTACCGCCCGGGGCTGAGGCGGTATAGCCGCGGTCGGCGGTCGCGGGCAGGGGTGACGCAGCCGCACGCGCTGGAGGGAATTCGGTGACCAGTTTCAGGGATGATGTTATAGAAGGATGCTTGATCATGCCTCGGCCATTGCAGCAAAGCATGCAGGGGAAACTGAGAGATATGAATGATGTTTCATCGCGATATTCGTCTCGTCGGGTGGAGTTATCTAGTCCTCAAATCTGAGTGAGCAACTCCGCCTTCTCTAACAAACGGCCCTCTGCTCGGTGCTGGTGGCGCCTTCGTTTCGTAGGGAAATCTGATCACGGCTCTGTCCCGTTCAGACCTCGTTCAGGCGACTTTCCCTGTGACCCTCAGCGACCCCCTCCACGGGCCCCACCCTGGCGACCCTGGCGGCTCACTCCCGAGCCTGGGCCTGTCGGCGTCTCGAGCGTGGTATTTCCGCTGCCTCTGGCGTCCACATACGGGGCGTCGAGCTGTGTCAGTCGCGAGCCGGCGGTATGCCCCGGGTCATCACCGGGTGGCCCGGCTGACCCCTGTGGTCCACGGTTACGTGGGACTGGTGAGGAGCATCCGGGCCGGAGGCGTAGCCACGACGCATACCGACACATGGGTGGTGGATTGGATTTGGCCTATGGAGCCGCGCAGGAAAATACTGTAGGCATCATGTTTTTGTGGATGATTAGAGCTTATCTGCTCCGTTAAAATGTTAGGAACGCACCATACGAGTTTGTTTCCCTCGTAAATTACCTTCGATGTGCAGTCTCACCCGACGCATTTGTAATTTGTTTATATGATTAACAGAAATCGGCCGGTGTTTTTTTATGGATACGGATATTTTATCGGCATGCCTCTTGATCCACCGTTTAAAAGACAACACGACCTCGCTTGAAGCCTCGTTCTATTCCGTTGCCCGTTACCCTGAGGCCAGCCTCTCTGACCACCCCCTGCCGCCCGTTTCAGACCCCTGCTCGGGTGCTGCCGGCCAGCCGGCGGAAGGACGGCTCCCACAACGAGCGGTTCCACGAGGAGTACGAGTACGAGCGGCGGGTGAAGAAGCGCCGCTCCCGGCTGGTCACCGCCGCAGAGGAAGCGTTCACGCATATCAAACGGCTGCAGGACGAGCACGGTACGTTAGAGGGCGGGGCGAACGGTCGCAGGGTCTCTAGTGTGTCAGGAGCGCCGGATGACACCATGAATACCAAACGTTGCTGAGTAACGAGCGGTGGAGCGTGCAAACCAATTTTCGTATTTGAACTTTTACTTTATGTCGTAGGTAACTGGCCAGCTTTACGATCGTAAACTATATTTCAGCCTTTAGATGTGGTCCTTAGCCTCCCCGAATTACTATACTAGCTACATGTGTATGATCATTCTTGCATGCCATCTCGAACGGGTGAATACGTTTCTGGGAATCTGACCGTCTGTCTGATTCGCCCCAGGTCCGGCGATGCCGATGGACCCGCACGAGGCAGCGCAGGCCATCTTCCCGACGATGGCCCGGCCGCTGCAGAAGTACCTGCGCGTCACGCGCCAGCAGCCGCGCCACACCATGGAGGCGATCCTGGCGCACCTGGCGCAGTGTCTGGCGCACGACCTGGCGCCGCGCGCCTTCCTCGAGCGCTACCTGGCGCCGGCGCCAGTGCTGGAGTCAGAGCGCGAGCGGCGGCCGGTGCAGAGCTGGGCTCTGGTGAGCGAGACGCCGCTGTCTCGTGCCGCCGCCGACGGCGTGGTCTTCCAGCTGCGACAGCTGGATGTGTCGCTACTCTGCACCGTGGTGAAGCTGCCTCACTTCAACATCACAGAGGAGATCATAGACCCAAAGTGTAACAAGTTCGTGCTGCGGCTGAACAGTGAAACGTCCGTATAGCATGAGAAGGTTGGTGTGTCGTTAGTGTGCTGGGTCAGGTCTCCACTTCTCGTGCTTGTGACAGCGCAGAAGACTCGTCCAACTATGCAGCAAGAGTGCTGTGCAGAACACTCGGGACCACGACAGCTCGCGTCACGCCCGCGCCATGTGTGACATGTTACTCGTGAAGTGTAAAATGTTTGTGCTCAACCCCCATTCCACCGTATGTTTGCGACTGATGCTGTATTTTGGTCATGTGTAGTCACCTCTTACGCTGCCGATTCCGTCCCATCCTGTTATTAGCATAACTGCGTGTGAGCTCGGCTCGGGACTCAGCTCGCATAGCAGCTGGTTGGTTATCTTCCAACGAGACAGTGATTGGAAGACGAAAAGACGCGTGTTAGGGTGTGGCGGCTCGGTTTGCATGGCTGCGTTGCGACTGATCGGGGTTCGATATGTTCTCACGGAATCATGGTCACGAGTGGACCCACTGGCCGGTGCGAGGTTCCACCCCGCGGCTGGATAAGACTCCTGTTTTTCACCGACTGACACTGTGACTGGCGAGGGACCTCCCTCCGTGTTCCGACGTATGTAATTGTTGCCGTCCGTTCGTAGTCGTACGATATGTGTCAGCTCTGGATTGTGTAACTACGCGACATTTCACGTGGCCAAATGGTATTACGAATGTTTGCCTCGAGTCTCAATCAACTACTGTTTTTTATATTGTTACCTGGTTCGTGTGCGTTTTTTACCAATATAATTGCTCATTCTGTCAAAGAACGTCGTAATGTAGAGCTCGCGAGCATCTCAAGACCGTTCTAATCGAAAACTTGCAAGACCTCAAACGTCACGTAACAAATGAACGAATGTCAATGGTTTGACCTCCACGACGTGAATAATGATATGTTTCCCTTACTATACAAAACCCAACCACAGGAAGTATGCGAGAACGCCTATCAGCACAGCGCACAAGCCAAGCCAAGATTAAATGTATGTATTATACATGAACGGCGAGGTAACATCCATCTGAGACAAAATATCCACCGCCACTGCAACGGTCTCGATAAGCTCTGACGCGGTCGCGCCGGGACTAGTACATACGTCTAGACAGCTCTCCCCATATCTCTGCGTATCACGAGTGGTCCTGGGCATTTCTCTCACTCTCTCTGCAGCTATCCAGGAGTCCAACAGGAGTCAGCGTGAGTCACTGAACGTGCCATCACCTCAGCGCGCTCTGCACAACTCAGAGAGGAGCCTACCGTCACCAACCTGCACCTGAACACATGGAAGCATTGGCGGGCAGTGCTGGCAGCCCAGGAAACGAATAGGAGAGGATAGTAAAAAGGAGGAAGGGGAGGAGACAAGGAACAAGAATAGAGAGGAAAGAAAATGGAAGAGGATATTAGAGAGGAGAGGAAAGCAGAGACAGATAATATAAAGCAGAACAGAGATCAGGAAACCACAGTAGAGCAGAGGAAAGAATGAGAAGAAAGAAAGAAAGGAGCAGAACAAAGAACAGAGACCGTTTGACGAGCGACCAATTTAGACCCGGCCAATTTCGAAATGTCAGTCGGACGCTCCGCCGGCTACGAACGCTAGGCGGAGCCAGTCACCTGAGTTTGGTCAGTACCGCGACAGTCGGCAGCGCAGGGATCCGAGAGGCCCGCGCAGGGCAGATCGAGAGCCAGCTAACGATACCCACAACCACAGGAGATGGGGATGGGATGGGCACAGGGCCACAACATAATTACAATCCTCCTTTGACAGAACGGCTCCGCCTGAAGCTGATGACATCGAAACAATCACCTGATTACGATTCATACAGGTCGACGGCTGGACAAGTAACATTTGACGACGGAAGATGTGTCAGGTCGACCGAAATAATAATCACGCGAGTCACTTCGAGCACAAGAGTGTAGCATACGTCCTACACTATTTGAACGACACGGCAGTCTCCGTACTGCAGGGAAGGGACACAACGGACCGGATGAACCCGCTACTCTTCACTGAAAGTCGCCCCGGGCACACCGGGTCAAGTCAGGTCAGGTCATTCACCCAGGGATCCGGAAAGGTCATCCGATATCCGACCGCGAACACACGGGATTGCCTGACACGTGTCATCGCGACACTAATCTGATGCAGATCGTGTCAGATCGAAAGCGTCGCCGACAGGACTCACTGACACACGGTCCGTGTCACTGACACAAGGTCCGTGTCACTCTGACAAACATAACTGACACACGACCGCGCACCTCTGGTCGCACATAACACTCTATCCACCAATCCCATAACAGATAACAATAACAAAGTCGGTTTGGCCGCAGTGATGGCTCAGGGAGTGCGGCGGGCGCTCGGTCGCGCACAGCCTCGCTCCTCTCTCGCTCCCCACTGGGCGCGTCGCCGGCGACTGAACACCGCGGCACGGCGCCGATAGTCCACCCGGCGCGCACCAACCAGGAGATATGACACACAGTAATCACATGGGGAACGAGCGGCGCGGCACGGCGCCACACAGATATGGCACATCAACAGAGCACGTCAGCATTCCTCGCGTACACCTCGGCAAAAATAGCGCTCCTCTGCCAACAGCCTACTCCTGACTCGAACAACGATCACACAGCGCGCTCACAGGTCTCGAAACAGCTCTCAGTAATATCAGCGTGACCGGCCGTGGCCGTCAGGGCGAACCAGCCCTCACTGACAGTCACCAGCCCCCAGTCCACCGACCAGCCGACTGGCTGGTAACACCTAGAAGACCATCGGACCGGACCGGACCAACGGACCGACAGACCACCGGACCACCGGACCAGCGGCCCGGCGGCGACGCTCACTACCACGCTCGGTTCACGTACTCGTTGAGTATATTTCGCGCGATCTGGATGTCGTTTTGGGAGATGGTGAGCGCACGCAAAACAGCTCGTTGGGAGTATCCCTCTGCCGACAGCTGAGCCAGGTGGTCCAGCCGTAGGTTCTCGTAGGATATGCTCAGGTCCGTCTCCTTACTGAAAACACACAGAGTAGGCGGTCATTAAAGGCATAAGGAAAAACCGGGACTTGAAACATAGCGAAGAGATCAAGAGTAACAAGTCGGGCCTGTGAATTATCCGTTTTACGAAGCAATATATCAAACGGTGCATTTTTCGAACAAGCAGAAATGTCGATAACCGCAAGCTGTTTGAAAATTGAGGAACACTTTTCGTTAGAATTGTGTTGTTCAATGGATAGCTCATCTCTTCCACGCCCACCAAGAGTCATCTTGCCTCGGGATATGAAATGACTGAGAGTGCTATGACACCGACGGGCTGCGGCAGCGCGATATGATTCGACCAAGGGAACCGGATCAGCTACTGAGAAGACTTGACTAACCAGGCTCTTACCCTGATTAGACACTTACCCGGGACTCGGCAGCACGGGCGCGGGCGCGGAAGAGGGAACGGGCGAGGGGGCCGCCGGCGGGGGTGTCCTTTTCCTCCCGGTCTGCTGCTGCGCCGCCACTGCGCACACGCGCGGTGCTGAAAACGGAAACAAGCAAATCAATTCCAAGTGTGATTGCTGGTAGATAAAATTGAACGAAATACGCTGAATAAAATGACCACTGTGGAGGCTTATAAATCGACGGAATCTGTATTAGTTACGCGACACACATGCATCTCGCAGGAAATTATCGAGGAATTAAAAAAAAAAAAAACAAGAAAGCATCGAAGAGGGCTTACACGAAGAACATCCAAATCATAACCCCGGGCGTCATAGTATCAAGTCTCCAGGCATCAGAGTAACTCGCCTACCCGCCTACCGAGTCGCGATCCCGTTCCCTTCCCACCCTTTCTACTCACGCAGCGGCGTGCCGAGATTGGCGTTCTGGTAGTCGTGCGCGGGCAGCCACAGCTCGGGCGGGGACGGCGGCCGCGGCAGGTCCGGTTGCGGTACTGGCAGCGGCGCCAGCGTCTGGGGCGGCGGTGGCGGCGGTGGCGGCGGTGGCGGTGGTGGCGGGGGCGGTGGAGGCGGGGGCGGCGGTGGAGGTGGGGGCGGGGGCGGCGCCAGAGGACAGGAGTGCCGATGTGCGGCGGTTGACGAGGCCGGGGCCGGCTCGGCCGCCGCCGTATGGCAGGCTCGGGGCGCGGGGATCGGCGTCTTCAGGACCACCGCACCCACCGGCGACTCGCGCACCTCAGCCGCCGCCGTCTCGGCGGGGGCGGGGGCGGGGGCGGCTATGGGCGGCGGCAGCGGCGGCGGGCTGGGCTCCGGCGTGGCCCACGGACTGGGCCGTGGGCTGGGTTCCCGAACCGGCCGCGGCGGCGGGCTCGGCTCGGGCGTGAGTCGGAACGGGGGGTTGGGCCGCCCCGGCGCCCGCGGCGGCAGGCACGGGTCACCAGAGGAGGCCACCAGAGACGAGGTGGAGCCGAACGCCCGCTCATGCTCCGACCGGCCACCTGTCGACGTGAGCTCGGTCAGTGGCCAACGACAAACAGCAAACAAGAGGTGGGGGGGAAGCTTTATAGATGCCCATGACAGCCGACGACTGATGGTCTCAAACATGAAATCAACGGGTACAGCAGCATGATGCTCCTTGATCCATAATGTTACTCAATGTTCCGTGCGAAGGGGGAACAAATAACAGTTCAGTAATTGGGTGTATACCATCCCCTCTATACTTACCGGGATGTAGCCGTGTGAGCACCACGTCAGCCGGGTCCCTCTGCTCCGTCCTACACGACTCCTGGCCGCCCGAACACAGCTGGTGAGAGCTGTGGGGCGGAGACACGGGGGAAATCAGACTCACAATCGCAACGTATCTTCATTGTGCGCAACGTTAAACAATACGGGCGACACGCAAATTGAGAATTACAAACAATATACAGCATCAGCATAAAACAGGTCATCCGCAGTGGAAAGTATCACAAAAAACATCATTGTCAAGACTACGGCATGTACACGAGAGAAAAATGCTTCAGCAATTACGACGGAAGGACCAAGTTCCCAAGTTTATATCATTGTCAAGACTTGAGTAGCTGGAAGTAACTCGACCACTCAGATAGACCCACTAACATAATCAACCAGTGACCTAGAAGTGAGCTGTGATCTATAACGTCCCACTGACCTGGGATCTCCCACCAGAACTGACCTCCGTGACCTGACGAGGCCGTGGCCGGGCCGCGGCGGCAGCGGCGGCGCCCGCAGCAGGTCAGTGTCGGCCCGTACCACGGGTCGTCCCTCCGGCGGCCGGGGCCGGCCCGGCGCGGGAGGCGACTCGTCCTCACTCTGACAGACGAGCGGCAGACACCCGCGGTTAGAGAGGATATTCACAGCAAGCTGGGAACACGGGGATACAGAGCATAGTGAAGCCGGGGTCTGAGATTGGCCGGACAGGCCGCTGGGCGCTGACAGTGGTAGAGTGTGACCAATGACCAAAGCTCGACTGACCACAGTCTACAGCGATGCTTGCCCCGATACAACATTTTTAGCCTTTCACAATAAACAATGATTCATAGGGAAATTATACACGTTTGCTTTGTTGGATTACCAAAAGCAAGCAGAATACAGTTGAACTGACAAAGATGTGAGCGACATTTATATGATACACAGAAACAACTGCTAGACGATGCTGAACGAATCAGATTAGCTGAAGAAATAAACTACGAATTAAAGTAAGACAACTGAATAACACAGACAGAATACACGTAATACAGTGATATTAATCTAATGAAAGGCTGTGTAAAATCTAAATGGCATACTCGT